GTGAAGACTGAAGATGAGTAGCAGAAATATCCTGTGTAGGCTCATCCACAGGGTTCAGATTCCCACCTGTAGTCAATCAGCTGAAGCTCTTTCCCAAAATTCAGGGCATCCCTGCCTTTGCTCCACAGGTGGATACTGTCTGCATGTTTGTTTTGATTTCAAACAAGAATTGCACAAGAAGTCTCTTTCATGCAGAGCAGAAGAGCTTTCTTAAGAAGGTTCCCAGTGCTGTGCTCTGCAGCAGCTCTTTGAGACCTGCCAGGGAGGTACAAGGGGGATATGCTTCCAAAAGAGGTTGAGAATGTTAAAGACATACATTTGACCCAAAAATCCCTTTTTCCCTTCATGTGTCCTCTGATAATGTGATGTGTAAGGAGTCACTACTTCAATATCAGCGAGAGCTTCTCTCTGCAAATTTGACTGACCTCAGCAGTATTAAAAGATTAAATTATTATGTAAGTCAATTCTCCTTAACCACTTTTATCAATGAGATAGGTGTCAAAATAGCTTCTGCTGCACATCATTCACTGTCTCATCCCTTATTTGATGAAATATATGTGTCTATATGTATTTTCAGGTCTTCCCTTGGTCCAGGGATGACTGTACACTAGGTGTTAAAATTGTATGTGAGCCAATATTTTCTCATATGGGCACAGCCTAATAGTTATTATTTCCAAAGCTCCAACATTACCTGCTGTACATCAGCCAAAATGCTAACATCAGAATTTATGAGCATATTTTACTTTGCTTGCTTGAAATCACCTAGAAAGTCTCACTGATTCACACATGAAGAATGACAGATTTATCAGCCCTGCAGAACTAATTGTTAAGTGCCTGACAGTCAGTTCTTGGATACAAGAATCCTATTTTTGCCTGCATTTTTATTTTAATTTCTCTAAAGTGGATTGTAGGACCTTATGTCTGGAAAGAATTTTCTGGGCACTCCAGACAGTACTTCATATAATCCTCATCAAGGGCACTAATGGATTTATTCCTTTGTCAGCTCAGCAGCACTACTGCACATGTTTGGTTGTGGAACAGAAGCTCCACTTGGGAGCTGGGGACCAGTGAGGGCTGCCCAGAGAAGAGTCTGGCTGCCTTGTTTTTCACCACTTGCAGAGTCACATCCTGCCACCAGGCAGGCTGCTCCAGCTTTTGCATTTCAGCTTTCACTGAAATAGTTACCTGAGAATCTGAAGGGTATATTCAACTTACAAAGACTGAAGGAAAACCATATAGCTAAACCAGAAATAAAAATTAAAATGATGCAAAATATATTTGAAATCATTCTTCTGCGCCGTCTTGATGAAAGACAGGAACAGGCACGGATATTAAGGAATTTAGACAAGATAGCTTTAAATAATTTATTTAACATTTCAGAAGACAATCCATCAGGGAAAGCAAGATCACTGAGTGGGTGGTCAGCCACACTGGGTATCTTTTTAGGATCCAGTTTATCCCAGAGAAATGGCTCATCATCTCCCTGCCATCCACAGAGAGGCTGGAGAGCAAGGGTTCAGCTGGGAGACTTCTCCAGTCAGAGAGATGATAAGCTCTTTCAAGCTACACAAAGTAGCATCTGGCCTCCACACACTTCAAAATAACGTGTTTTGACTAGTGTGTCTTATTTGATAGGCTATCATGTCATGGGCTGGCACTAACAAGGGATGTGAACAATATGAAATGTCATGTTAGGCTAAAGATGAAAAAAATGCTGCAGAAATGCAAAAGATGTTGGCTTCATCAGAGTGACTTTTTAGATCACAAAAGTGCTTCAAGAAAAAGATTCTTGAATACAATTGATCTGGAGGGGGACGATGTATTTCTTTTTTTGAAATAAAAAGGACAAGCATTTTGAGAAATGTGGCAGGAATTTCTTTTGTCCAGAGACAGGAGAAAGTGATCCAGTCAGCCCAGTTTTTACCTCTGGTCTTTATAGCTGGCTTCTGCCTCAAATCCTGTCCATCACAAAAAGGTACAAGTCTGTCCTTCTGGCAGAAATAAAACTTGCCCACATTGTTGCCAATAACAATGCAGCAAGTGTAGTGTGTGAAGAGCAGCTACTGAATTTAACATTACTGAAACCTGAGTAACTTTGAATTTGATCTGTGTCATTGCTTTATGCATACAGATCTGCTGTGCTTGGAAAAAAGTGGGTTTGTATTTAGCTTAGCTCTCTGTAGGTGTGAGGTTGGTGTGGTAGAGGGCCTCCTTAGTGTAGTGATACTGTAGTTTTTCTAGTACAAATTGCATCTGATACTGAATTTATAAATAATCCAAAGTTTTTATAAGGGTTGATGTCTTAATTTAGGTTTAATTTTTTAAGATATGTACAGTTCTTGTTTGCTTCATAACCTCAGCATGATTTTTATTTATATCCTCTCTTTTTAGAATCAGTTTATAGTTCCTGTTCATGGTGATAAAAACCCTATGATGCATTCATAAGAGTTAGTATCTCATCAACAGCTGGATTGCTGAAAAGTTCTCAGGTCCTTCCAGAAAGGGAGCAGTCATTTCAACATCAAGGGACTTTTAGAGCATGCCTGGGTGTTTGGTTCTCTACACTGGCTCTACACTGAAAATAATGGATTTTGTAGTGAGAAAAATAACCTGTTTTGAGGCAGGGAAATTGTGTGTGTGTGTGTGTGTGTTCAAAATGTGCAAATGGGAGTGCAAATTTCTCAGTCTGAACGAAATGATGTTTTTATTGTAGTCTGTATTTCAAGTAACCTAGATGTCAGATCAAACTAAAAATGTGGTTTTCCCCCTCTCTGCCTTTACATAAATCCCTGACTCTGTTGGAGGAGTCATCAGTCAAAATGAGATACAGATAATTTGTGTCTAAGTTTTGTGGGCTTTTCTGAGACAGGTGACAAGTGTTCCTGTATGAAGTGTTTACCCTATGAAGTGTTTATCCTACAAATGCTAGCAAAGCTTGGGCCATCTCATTTTAGATTCAGTAAAGCATTTTCCATCACAACATTATGCTTAGAGGTGTAATTACAAGTTCTGCATGATCCTAGATTTACTTTAAAGTGTGCCAGAGACCTTGTTAAAGAAGGAATGGTTTCTGCCCACATGATTGCCAGCCCTACAGCCTACACACAGTGAGGGCATCTGCACATCCACATAGGTCCTGGTCCCACTTTCTAGTCCCAGGTGAGTCTGTCCTGAAAGTTACAATTTCCCCCCATCTTGAAGTGAGCCTTTAAAAAAAACCCAACAATTAAACCAAAGGATTTTATACTGTTTTAATTACACTGCTGCTGAGCGAGGAGGGATTCTTGCACTGAGTAGTGGTGCACAGACATGTAAGAGGTACCTCAATACCTGAAAAGGAACAATCAGACATACACACACATGTGCATGTGCACACAGGGCAGTCTCCTGTTCTTCAGAGGGGAAGCAAACTTCCTCTGGTAATGGAGGATTTGAGGGAAATGGCATTATGTTTTCCACCATAGGAAAAAAATGTGTATTAATAAGGATCCCATACTTCTTGCTGCAGTTTCCTGGACAGAAATAGATTTGAATGTGGGCCATAGCAGAGGTCAAGCACACCCAGAACCCATGCAGTGCAGAGTGCACCCATGCCCCTGCACTGCATGGTCCTCCACCAGCCTTGCACAGGTATCCCAGTGTGATCAGGGAACAGGGAGAGGCACACGGGCTTGTGTTCAGTGTATGTGCATTCAAAAAGATGCAATAATGGTCCAGAGTGCAGAGGTCCTGAAAATCCTAAGGGTGAAAGAGAAGCTAATGCTGTCAGCAGGGACACAGAGGTTGCCTGTCATTCTCATTTGCTGGGAGCTGATCCTTGCCTGTTTTCACATAAGGACAATATAACCAACTTTATTAGTGCAAGTGGTTAGAGACTCTTACAACTCTCCTTGGACAGCAGCAACAGAAAAGAAATTCATTATGAAAATCTGAATCTTGGATCTGCTGCACAAACGTTTCCCAGAGGTGGGATAATACCTAAGCATGCCTGCTGCTGGCATGACTGGCTTGGAGGCAGAACACAAATTGCAATTGTTTTATAACACTTGGGGACTTCCTTTGGAAGATAAAAATGCTTCAACTTATTTCCGTGAAAGCTACATTTCCTCAGACATCCATCATGAGATTTATTCTTCTGTTCTTAATTAATCATGGCTAGAAGACACTATGACAGAAAAAGGAGTGTTAGCATTTGAGATATCATAAGTATTGGTTAAATGGAAGAATTTGCCAAAGCAACCCAGGTTAATTAATACCTCGGTGGCCTACGAAATTCATGTGAGTTCGTGGTGGTAACACTCTTGTGTTTCAGCCTGTGAAGTTGAGCACATACCTGTTTCAAAACTAAATTAAGCCTTCATTTTCCTGGCTGCATGAAGGGATTTCCCTGGATTTGCAGTCTCAGTGACTCTTTAACTGCTGCAGAAGTAGGCTCAGAATGCCAAACTAGTTTGAAGTGCTGGATGCTGTGGGATGTGAAGGAGGCCAGTGGACTTCGGGGCATGGGTGTGCAGCACTGATGATAAACTTCAGCTCTGGAGTCTCAGTCTACTTCAGCCATAAAATTGTCTTTCTGTATATGTTCTGTTGAATTAAAAAATGCAGAATGTATATTACATGCAAATGTCCAGAGTCTCTCTCCCAACCTTGTCTCAGTTTGAGGGGACAGTCTATAAAGTAAAACAGAAATAATCGGGTATTTTGCAGGTCCTATCCTGTCATCAGATTTTGAATAGTCACATTATTTTCTCAGGTGTATAATTTGCTTTAACTTGACAGGAATTATAAAAGACTGAGATAAACCCTTGCAAATGTCACCAGCCTGTTTGCAGGGGCAAAATCAGCCAACCTGTCTGAAGGGGCAAACCCTTGCTTCCCATGAACAACATCTTTCACATCTTGCTCTCTGGTTTTCCTTTCTTTCATCTGTTGAGTTCTTTCCATCACTTCACCTTATCCTACATGGTCAGGTTAACGTTCCCCTTCACCTGTGTTCACAGAGAATGCAAATAAACTGGAAGAAAGTGCAAGAGGGATCTACATCCCTTGTCCAGAGCATTACAACGGCTTCTGCATGCATGGCAAGTGTGAGCACTCCACAAACATGCTGGAACCGTCGTGCAGGTAACCCTTCTCCCGCCAGCAAGGGAAGGCTACACCCATGGAAATACTGACTTACAGAAACACTTAATCTGGATCAGCTATGGAAAATAATGGCAACCATGGCCCTTTGTGCTACAAAATCCATCAGACTTAAATTATTCAACGAAGTCCCAAAAGTGTATTGAGTTATGAACAATGTTAATTGACTGTAAAGCCATCCAGTAACCTTCAGTTATATTTAGATGTGTTTTTAAAAGCCCTTCACAGGGCACTCAGACCTCACTAGGTGCCCTCCTCAGCCTGAGGGAGAGGAGTGCCACCAGGGTATGTCCCTGCTGTGGCAGGAGCAGAGCTCGTGGGGCAGCTGGCTGGGGCACAGGGGGCTGCTTCAGCAGGAGGTGATTTTGGAGGAGGTTTGGGCAGGGAGGAGGAATACAGTGAAAGCACTGTAGTGTCCTGCAGTGAATGCCTCCCTGAACAGGGGCAGATATTGCTTCTGAAGTCCACACAGTGGCCAGGTGGCTGGAAAAGGACATGAACACCATTTTCCTGGGACACTGGGATGGGACCGCAAAGATACACACACCAGATCTCCCCAGGACAGAACCTCAAGCCAGCTTTTCCCAGCTCACACAAACAGCCAGGACACATTTTGCTCTTTGCAGCTTCTGCATTTTAGGTGCTCCATTCAACTGAAAAATGTCATTTCCTCAAGGTGCTGGCAGCTGTGGAAATGCAGGGAAAGAAAAGGAAGCACAAGGCTTAACCCATCAGGGTTAGTGCTCCACTAACACACCTGAGAGGAGCCCAAGCCATCTGTCTCAGTCCCTGACAGTTGCTGCTGCCATTGACCTGGATTTTCACATCTTGCTTGGGCAATTAAGGGGAAACAGGGCAAGAGCTAGAACTGTAAAAGCACTGCTTGGCCCCAAAATCACAGAGCAGAGTGGGGATGTCAGGCTGCAGGAGGGGAACTGGTGAGCAGTGCAGCAGGCAGCATTGGGGTTGATGGCTGCAGCATCAGTAGAGGGGTTTTTTATAGCAACCAGACGAAATGTAAATGATGTATCCACTTTCAGGAACATCTAATCACATTTCATATGGAGCCTGGATGATTGCTTATCACCTCCTTAGGGGTAATCTGCATAAGGAACCAGAGCTCGATGGCTTTTCACCCTCCCCCACCTCCCCAAAGAAAGGGAGAAATCTAAAGTATGTTGTGCAAGGAACTAAATGGATTCTCATCACAATGTGCAAGTGGTTCCACTTGAAGCCAGTTATGTCTTGGTCCCCTGGGTACCTCCTGGCACTCTCACAGTGTTATTCACTCTCACAGACCTTGGTGACACTGAGGACCACAAGTCTTCCCTCTGAGCGGGAGCACCCACTGATACTCTCTCCGTGGGAGTCCATTCTGAAAAAGAAAGAAAAAAAAAAACCAAAAAACCACATAAGCTTATGCTTCAGCGCCTAATTTATTTTTTTTCCAGCATTCTTTGAAAGCAGCAGGTATAATGAGGAAAAAATATTTTTTATTTCAGATGTGACGCCGGCTATACTGGACAACACTGTGAAAAAAAGGACTACAGCGTTTTATATGTGGTTCCAGGTCCAGTACGATTTCAGTATGTCTTAATAGCAGCTGTGATTGGAACCATCCAGATTGCCATCATCTGTGTTGTAGTCCTTTGTATTACAAGGTCAGTATCTCTGGTATTTTACAGTAGAAAGAGAAAAGACTTTTGTTTTTCCTGCAATGTGCGCTGATTATACCGATTTCTGCAGTGACACTGCTGATAACAAATGCTATTTAATTCACTCACAAACAGAAGATATCATCTGGTCCAGCCAGCAAGTGCTCCTTCATTATTATGACTGAATTTTTACTTCCATCTTAATCAAACTTAGGTAGCAACGGTGCCTACAGCAAGTGAAGTTCTCTACTTTGTATTCAGATGCTTGGACAAATATTGTTCATATAAATAGGGGAAATATAAATACAGCAGCTGGATCAACACTTAATAAAACTAATCATATCTCCATCTGGTTTCCTTAAGGGCCCATTCCCTTAGTCCTAATCAGGCAGAGCATACAGACTTTTAAGCCTGTTTGCAACCCCGCTGATTAAATGATTTCATTAGGCTTGAGTGCATGTTCAAAGGCACTGCACATGTTTTAGGGTCTTCCATATATGATGTACCCAGGGTTTTTTTCTTTAGTGAGGAGCAGAGGGTTGTGTGAATGGAAAAAGCCCCAGGGTAGTTCAGAATGAGAGGGGTAAATGCAATCCTTCCCCCCCATGTGCTGCTCTACTCCCCCACTTGACTGTGTTACTGTCTCTGGGAGGGCTTGGGGTAAGTTCTGAATGTCAAACATTTACAAGCTTCTCTTAGAAATCACAAGGTTTAATTAATTCAGTTAGCAGCACTGATAAATTGCTCTTTTAAAAATTATTTTCTTTTTAAAATTAAAAAAAAAGCCAGGTATCATAACTCCATATAAAATAAAATCTCTACTTTATTTCAGTCCCTGTGTTGCACTACCTGGCTGGAAGACAAGTGTAGAGCATTTGTTCCAAGAAAAGAATAAAGAAAAAAATTCATAAATCCTTCTCTGGCCTAAAGGCACAAACCAAAACCTTTTTTAGCCATAGTTCATCACCTGAATGGCAACTACCAAATGAGGCAGTAGATTACAGGAGGTGGTGTTCACAGAGGTAATTCAAACAACCAAAAATACAGCGTGTAGGGAGAGAAAGAAAGTAGTGTAGTAATTGATAATGGAATAAATGTGTATTGTTTTGTCAAGTGAGTCTAGTTTTGTCATCTTGATGCAGTGAGCAAAGTACTTTATACTGAAGAATGAAGACAGGGAGCTCTGAGTGATCCGGTACTGTAATGCAAATTACCTGTCACACTGTTTTCATACAGAGACAGTACCTTTTCCCCCCACACTTTGTAACCAAGTCAATTTATGATCTTTTGACTTTTTTTCTGTAATGCATGTAATTACTGCAGAGCATCCTCCATCCCAGCATAATGATTTGAGATACATTTGCAGAAGTGTGCTCTTAAGTGGCCTAAGAGAAATCCACCTGACAAGAGAGTGTTGTGGCAGCATATGCATGAGCAATTGAGTTTTTGAAGTTGTCTGCTTTGGAGAACCTGACTGTACTGGTTTGAACTCCACACCCTAAATTCTTGAAAGTGCTGAAACCACCTTGCCAGGCTCCTGGGAGAAAGAAGGGAAACTTCTTCATTCAGAGGGCATTGCGGCCAAATTCTTTGCTGCTCATTTCAGTGCAACTTCAGCTAATTAATTAATCAAGCGAGTTTGGTGCACTGCATCCATGTGAGCCTCACAAAACTACCATTGTAATCTTCCAGCTATCATTACTGTTGTTGCTCTTAAAATTTTACCTGTACAGTGGTGCAAATCTCTGGGGGTGTCCTCTGTTGCTAGAAGGCTCTCAGCAAGTCCCGGAGACTTTTAGGGCTGTTGCTGCAGACACTTTAATCTGAATAAAGAGGCTGCTGACAGATGAGGTTTGCCCCTGGCCCCTCCTCTGCCTCCTGGGCACTTGGCCCTCCAAGTTGCCAGCATTACCATTTCTGTAGCCACAGAAGCAACAGAGTCAGAGGATGGACTCAGCTGAAAATGCAACCAACAGCAGTGATCATGACTAGGGTTTAAGTGACTCGGTGCTTGGCTACTCATCACTAGTGCCAAGTTTCTGGGGTGGAGGAGTAGGGAACCAAAGGCCAAGAGGTAAAACAGTGAGGCACAGTCTGCCCAAGGACTTCGCAATAAGTTTCTGGGGTGGAGGAGTAGGGAACAAAGGCCAAGAGGTAAAACAGTGAGGCACAGTCTGCCCAAGGACTTCTAGCTTAAAGATAAGGCAGAAAAAGAAGCAGTGATTAAAGTGAAGGAGGATGACAAATAATATAGGTATGGCCTAGTGTCATAATGATTCTCAGCAGTTTTCTTTGCAGCTTTGCATTTTTAGTGCTTCCCTAATGTTTAGTCACAGCAGCATATTTATATGAAGAAATAACTTGATTAAAAATGAATGCATAACGTGTTTTACCTGCTATGAATCACATTGTGAGTAACTTGAGCTCCCGAGCAAAGCTTCAGTGGAGGGAAGGAGGGAGGGCAGCCTGTGCTCCAGCACTTGGTTTACATCAATGTAACTGCTGTGTTCATAAATGAATGCACCCCCCACACAGTGCACTACAAAGGACTTTTGATTAAAGAGTTAAGAACCAAGGAAAACCTATCACACTCAGTTTTAGAAGATGATTAAGTCTCAAAAGCTGGTTAAACGCCAGTGCTCCCCTTACGAACCCCTGCTGCACTTCAGACACAACTCACCTGTAAATGCAATAGCATTGTGTGTAAGCAGCTTGGGGTCTTCCCAAGCTCCCAGCCATGGGTAATGTACAATTGAAACACGGGCATTTTTGGTTCAAAGATGCTTTTTCATCATTTTAATTGGAGTAATCTCTACATTTGAATTGATTTCTCTCGAGCTTGAAGCGACTATATACATATTATCAGTGTTGGTTTGGGGAAAGTACCTATGAGATGGTCATCTCCTTGTGTCCAGCTGGAGCAGTTGGTGTCCACCATGCACAGCTGCATCCCCTGGGATTGCTGACCATCCTCATCATCCCCCAGCCACCTTTCTCCTCCACGTTTCATACAAAATCAGTCTGGTTGTGCCCACTGTGCGCTGGTTGCCTAACCCTGCTTCACCTGGCCGAGTGCTGGGGCAAAGCAGGGCTGTGAATCCAGATGCTGGGGGCTCAGGGAGGAGCCCTGGGTGTTGGTGGGGCTGTCTCAGCCCGTGGAAGTGTCCCTGGCCATGTCCTGCAGAGCACCACGAGGCCCTGCTGTGCTGGCTGGGCAGGAGGGGCCATGCAGGGACAGCAGCCAGGGCTCTCAGTGTGCCCATGGTGCACAGGGAAGCAGCCCTGTGCCTGCCAACAGCGGCTCCCTGCCTCACTCCCAGAGTCTGATGGCCTTTCCAGGGAACTCGCAGTGAATAATGAGTTTGTGTGAGCTCGCAGACCGGCTGAAGTCTGCCTGAGTTCCGTAATGAAAGCTCTGCCGTGACCCCTGAGAGCGCAGGAGACACAGCCTGGTTTTTCCTGGAGTAATGATAGCAGCCTACTTCACTGCTTCCCAGGAAGGAACGAGGCAAAATATAGCCCACAGCCATACAGCTTCTCATGAGGGGGTGGTCCTGGTGGCTTAAAAGTGAGGCAAGTCAGGACAGTCTGACCCATATTTTGCCAGACACTTACATAATTGTATTCCAGCATTCTTTAAAAATGCTTCCTAAATTCTTTGCTCCTGTTTAGCCTTTCAGTTGACGTCACAAAACTATAACATCACTCCCATTCAACAGGAGGGGAAAAATGACCTTTTTCAATTTATTTCACTTGTTCTGCTCTTAGTTATTTGACACAGAGCTGCAGGCAAGTGCTTTAAGCTCTCACTGCACTGAGGTGAGCTCTCCCCAGTGCAGAACCCACAGGGTTTCACCCGGTGCAGGTGAAAGCCCTCCTGTAACAGAAGAACAAGTCAGCCCCATACAAAGGGAATTTTTTTCCATGTCAGTGTCATCTGGAGTATTGTGGGGCCCCTTCTCACGGCACTCCAAGGAAGTGTTTCAGTCTCTGTTGTGCAGGTGCCCACAGTTTTTACCATAGCCACCTTTGGCTTTCAGCTGATTAGGACATCCTGTGGCCTCCACCTGGGATTAAACTTCTCCATGCTTTCTGCCCGAGGGTGCCTTTCCCTGAGAGGAAGCCAGAAACACACCATTAGCTTTCCATTAGGGAGAAATGTAGCATCCCCACAGCAGGTGCTGCTGCAGGTGAAAGGTGGAAACGTGCCCTTGCTGAGGAACACTGGAGGTCCTGAGACACGAGGGGGTTTGCCCCTGCAGCTGTCCAAAGGAATATCAGATTTGGGGCTTGGGATCATTGCAATGCAGCAGGAGTGTCCAGGGTTCAGGAAACCAAACATCTCCCTTGCCATAATTTTGTTCACAGTATGTGTTTGGGGGTTGTGTTGGCTTTTTTTTTTTTTTTTTTTTTTTTTTTTTTTTTGGTTGAGTTTTCTTTTTTCCCGTGGTTNNGGTGTTTTTTTTTTTTTTTTTTTTTTTTTTTTTTTTTTTTTTTTTTTTGTGGTGGCATTGCCATTAGCCAGCTGGTTTCATTTCACTGAGAAGGAAGCACACTGAGGGCTGGAGGATGCCCCTCTTGCCCTCGCATCCCTGCTGCCCCTGCCACCTCTGGAGCAGATGTGTTGCTAAGAGCTGTGTATTCTCACAACTCTCTTTTCCAGGAAATGTCCCAGGAGCAACAGAATCCACAGACAGAAGCAAAACACAGGGCACTACAGTTCAGACAACACAACAAGAGCATCGACAAGGTTAATTTAAAGAGCGCATGTTTCCACAATGGCAAAACTAACTGCAGAGAGCTTGGACTACAAAATACAGTATTATAGACAAAAGATTAAGACAAGATCTACACATGTTGCCTTGCATTTGTGGTAATCTACACCAATGAGAACATGTACTACAGCTATATTTGATTATGTATGGATATATTTGAAATAGTATACATTGTCTTGATGTTTTTCTGTAATGTAAATAAACTATTTATATCACACAATATAGTTTTTTCTTTTTCATGTATTTGTTATATATAATAAATACTCAGTGATGAGAAAAAAATTGCCTTTCTTAAATTTGCTGTATCTCATAGCTGTGTATAGTCTTGGGATATTGTGTATGGACACTAACAAGTCTCTTTTTTTTTCTTTTTCCAGTTCTAGTGGCAATTTTGAGTCTACTGAACTCAGTAGTAGGGTTTTGAGTTGGTCCAAGATCAGCGACAATTATGGATGTGGGAAAGGTGAAGAATAATTTAACCTACATTGAGGAGGGATAAAATATTTCAGATCCGGAGTCAACTACATTTCATCAGCCGCCTTCTCCCATGCCATCTATCTTTACTCTCCCATAGCTTAGGAAGTCTTTGCCTTCTAAATTAAATCCTAACCGAAGGGGAAATGGAAATTCTCAGTAACCGCAATGAGAGTGTCGGGGGTAACGTTTCCATTTGGGATGGAATTAGGTGTCTGTCAAGGTGAACCCTACGAGAACACTTGGCAGCATCTCCAACTCTGGTCACTGGAGTGAGTGAAAATTGCTTCTCACTCTTGATTGAAAATTATTAGGTTAAAAAAGTTAATAACATAATAACAGCTGAAATGCCAGTCCCATTTGCACCTCGTGAACATGCTGATATAATTTATTTTTTCAAAGAGAAGGTGAAAAACACTCAGAAAATACCTTATGAATAACTTTATGGGTGACCCTACTCCATTAAATGTAATGAACCCAAATGTTGGCTATACCTCAGGAAAATAAGGGCATGTGTTTTGTCACATCCACATGATGGACAAGATGCAGAGTTAGTTCTGTGATAGCTGAAACTCTCCAAAGCACATCCTTTCCAGAAGGTAATTCTGCTCTAGTTTGTGCTGTGAATTTTGAGGACAGCAGAGTGTGACTGCAGGGCAGAGTGGGGTAACATCACTGCTGCTGGATAACATCCTCTGCACTGAGTGCCCGGGCTCCAGCCCTTGTAACAGCAGTCACTGTGCTGCTCCTCTCCAAAGAGACCTTGCCCAGGCAGAGCGTGCCCAAGACAAGAGTTAGGAGGATTTCTCATTGTCATCACCATGTCAGAGTCAGACCTGGGGTTACCTGGGATGATGTCTCATGAGTGTGTTTCCATTTCCTGCTTCAGCATCCATCTGGTCACTCACAGCAGTCACCACCAACCCCACCAGTGACAGCCCACCCGGCCTGGCCCTCAGACACGGGTGCAGAGATTCTTCTACTCTAACACGACTTTTGGTCTCCCCTTCCCTACCCCAGCCTGCTTTAAAGTGAATCCATTGCATGATGTTCACACGGTCTCAGTTTTTGTCTTGTTCTGGGTTTCTTGGCTTTTTAAAGGTAATAAAAGGTGATTGGCAAGAGATGCTTCCAGACACCTGGTCTGTGCTGATTGATGGGAGTGGGAGTGGTGCTTGCACAGGCAGAGGGGCAGATGATGGCACAGGGCAGCTCTCTGGCACTGAGATGCTGGTCCTGAAGGGACCTGCTCCCTGGAACTGTAGGCTGGGTCAAGGCAGAAGGAGAGGGGGCCATCTAGCCAGCCCCTGCTCCTCAGCCCTCACCCCAGCTCTCCAACAAATGTTTGAAAAGAGGCAAACGTAGCCCTACCCTTAGACACCCTCCCTTTGTGCTTCCTGAGCGAAAAGTTGGAGTCTAACAAGCATCAAAACCATATAGTTTGAGCTGATTCCAAATGTGAGTCCCTCCACAGGGACTATCAGGTCCGGATTGTTTATGTTGGTTGCTTGCATTAGATACAAAAATCAAACATTAGCACATACACATTGCCACGGAGCTATAGCAATAAACCTAATTAAAAAGGCAAAGTTTGGCCTGGACAAAAATAGCACAGCATCGCTTAGGAGTGAAAACAGGAGTCCGACACACTGTCTCCAAACTTCCAACATTATGAGCCTGCCTTTCACGGAGCAGTGGCACATTTAATCCCCAAACAGCATTTGCCAGGTGTCACTAGCTGCATCCCCAGCTGCAGGGCCTGTCACAAAGCCTCACACCTCCCCAGCATGGCCAGTGTAAATGCCTGCTGCAGACAGGAGGGCAGAGAGGGGAAAGGGATTTTCTTGTTAATACACAGGGCAGGTCCCACCTCTTTTGGTCTCTCAGACTTAACCTTCAACATGCTGGCAAGGGCACACAGTCTGACAGTAACAGTGTCTTGGGGTGTACCTACAGCAATGGAGATTTTTACCAAAGACATTTGCAGAAACTGCAAAACACAGCAAAATTTGGAGATGTGGACTTTTCCTTTTCTGAGGGGTCTGGAAAATGTGTGTTTGTTAGATCCCCATGCTGGCCAAAACTCAAGACATGGCAATGTCTGTGCAGTGTAACAGAAGATGCAGGGAGGTGGGCTGGGCACATGGGCAAAGCCATGGCTGTGAGAATTGTGCCATGCACTGGGGCAGAGCCCAGCTCCTCTACTTGGAGTCACACAGAGTGGTGAAAATGTGTTGCTGTTTGTCCTCTTCCCAGCGCACGCTTCAGCAACCCTGAGCATAGAGCAAGGTTTCTCGTGATGCCCATGGAGATAGACTCAGTGCTTGGGGAGGGCAGCAATTCATCTGTTTGGGCTGTTTCATAGGCTTTTTCTGCATGGCACAATGGCAACTGCAAATAACCTCAACTACCAGCACTCACCTACTTTAAAAGCCACACTAAATGATAAAATGTGCCAAAACCACTGAAAATACCAGTATTCCACACTCAATGTGATGGCTTTGGGTCAACACACATGTCCCAACAGCCTGCAGTCACTTCCTGGCTGTTGTTTTACCACAAGCCACACTGGACAGTATAAAAGGTAAAATTAAGAGGTAAAAATAGGACTGTTGGCACACCCATTCCCTAAGGAACAGCCTGTAGCTGAGCAAGAAACCATGTTCTTATTTTGTATGTGATGCATTTATCACAACAGCATCCTTAGTCCTCAAAATAAAGCCAGGCATGCTATTGGCAGAGCCCCTCGCTCTCCCCAGCCCGGGATGGTCAGATGATGTCCAACACCTTTGTGCCTTCGGATGCTGGGCTGGATCCCAGGCCAAAAGGACTCACCTGCAGCTACCACCCCGAAAGACTGCAGTGGTGGGGCATTGTGGAGGTGTGTGTGGCACACACCTCATCTTTCCCCTCCCCAAATGCTGCATTACAGGACAGGAACAGCCCCATGCCTCACCACCATGGTGCTGCTCCTTAAAGTCTAATCAGGTGTTCATTATCAGTCCCTTTCATCCACAGATAATAAGACATGATTTACAGCACATTACCATTACAAAAATATTATAATTAATGAAGGGATGCTGGACACCCTGTTCTAACTGCTTAGAATAGATGTGCTCCTGCTCCATCAGGGTGTCACCAGCACGGGCAGCTCTGGTTTTGCAGAGGCTCTCAGTGCCAGCTGTGCTGGTGGCAGGGATGCCCAGGTGTGTCCCGTGCCCAGGTTAACCCAGCGCTCAGGTGGGCGCGGGTGCCATCTATCACTGCCTCCTCTCTTCCAGAAGCAGCCCTCAAAAAAGCCTCCTCTTCAAAGAGCTCTCTAAAGCTTCTTTGAAAACAAAATGATTAAAGGCTATCTTCCCTCTCATCCAACATCAGACACATCGCACGCCGCATCCTTGCTTTCACCCCTGATTATGCATGCGGCTTCTCCCAGCTCCCAGTTTTGCGTCGGCATGGAAGTTACAGCCCCGAATTAAAAGCGAGGTTCATTACTGCACATCAAAGCCGGCGCTGTGCCTCGGCCAGCCTGGCCCTTTCTTTAATTTATGGGTGCATGGCCAGGCTGCAGCTCTGCCTGTAAGGCGTCTGCAGCCCCCACAGGTTTGTAAGGCAAGCTGAGGGTGTCTGGCGCTGGTGGTGGGGCTTTTCCAGAATAATCAACAACCTCAGCTGAACTTGAAGGGAGATGGAGAAACACGGGGCCATCACATATTAAGTTTTTAGAGTAATTTAAAACTATTATTATTAATGATATAAATAATACAAATGCTTTAGCTGTATTTCTGGTCTCGACAGGCCACAGCCTGGCTGATGGAGCCTCCTACACTATGCTCTGTCTGACATGGAAGCCAAAAATCTCATTTTTTTACCCCCGCCACACACACAGAGCATCTGGGATGCTGCACCCTGACAGTGCCACCAAAGCAGCCTCTGCTGGCACCTGCAAGCAGAAGGGGCACAAGGAACAGACACTGCAGCTCCTACCCTGCCAGCCCTTTGACCGATGCTGTGCTTTCAAATGCTTGTCATATTAGGTGAGCTTGATTTATTTTAGTTTCAGTTTAATTAACAGTTTTGTCACAGCAGGAGGGCTGTTAAAAAAAAAAAAAGGCAGGATTTTTGTCAACTTTTTCTTTTTTTTTTTTTTATTTTGCCGTATTGAACGCGAGCCACAAGGCAGTAAAATATTCCGCAGTCTCACACAGCAGCAGCCAAGCTGCAGAATGAAAAAAAAGCATGCGAGGAATCCGCTCTGTGATGCTAACGAGGTGGCACCCGCTTCCTCAAAGGAACGGGGGGCCCATTTCGCTCAGCCCAGGGAGGAGCCTTGGGGTCAGACCCTCTCCCATCGGCTTTTCCCTGGGCTGTGGGAGCCGTGGTGCAGCGCCGGGGGTGTCACCGCAGGGACACGGAGGTGACCCGGCCACGGAAACACCTCCGGCAGGTGGAGAGCGGTGAGGAAACGCAGTGATGCCTCACAAACTCGCCACGGGAGAAGCTTTAAAGGGGGCTTGGTTTACATGGGGGCACTCGAAAAGAGGTAAAATTAAGAGGTAAAATTAAAAGGTAAAATGAAGAGGTGCAATTATTCGGGGTAGGATCCGGGCTCCAAACGCAGGGCCCATCGCCCGACGGCAGCGCTGCTCTGCGGAGCGGCTTTGGCCGGGCAGCGATGAGCACAGAGGTGAGTGAGGCACAGCCCTGTAATGTGACCTGAATCAGCGGCTATAGATAGTGCTTCCCGCATGTTTTACATTTTCAAATAAAAAGGATCTTCTTGTTTAATGGTTAATAAAAATGATTAGTGCTCCCAGGGCACGGATCCTGACAGATGCAGAGCGGGCTGCAGGGACCAGCTACAAGACACGAGAGAAGACGAAACCGGTGATTTTTATTTTTTTTCTCCTGTGGAGTACATCACCGCCAGCATTAGCAAGTTAATTTGTAATATAATTACATGTTACTTCTGTCACAGAAGCGCAGCACGTGTGTGGGGCCAGTGGCCTGCCAGGGGCACAGCCCAGGCAGCACTGCTGCAGGGAGGAGCAGCCAGGAGTATGTTTATGCCTGGGATGCATAAACACATCTGTGGACAGATATATGCACCTGTGTGTGTGTACACACAGGTATGGACAGCCTGGGATGCATAAACACATCTATGGAAACATACATGCACCTGTGTGTGTGTACACACACATATCCTATATACACACTCATCTACACGCATGGATGTGCCTACACACTCATACGTGTAATAAATACACATGCACATACAAAAAATGCAATTTTGTATAGAAAAATTAAATTATATTTGTGTGATGGATACTGTAGGGAAGAGCCAGCTGACTGCCCTGCACCATTTCCTGCATCAAAGCCACAAAGAATAACAGGGCAGAAGAGCTGTGCCTTGCCAAGCTCCCTGTGCAGCTCCAGCTTCCTAAAAAAACCAAAACCTGCCATGCCAGCCTCGTGGCAGCATTAAACCCTCACTCTGGAAGCTGGCTTGACTTTTTTTCCTTTAATTAATTTATTATTATTATTATTTCTTTTCATAGCACACCATGTAGAAGATTATGGTCAGTAATAGTTTTCCAAGAAATAAAGTCTATAAAAGTAATTGTTAGGAACAAGCTGCAATAGCAAATTGCTGAGTGGTTGCCATAGTGCAGCAGCACAATTTGAGATTTAATATCATTACTAATGATATTTACTTGGCCTGCAGGAGAGAGTGAGACTTGTGCTCTCTAAATGTCATTTGACTGCTAATATGTCAGCGTGCACACCCAGCCTGGCCGTGGGGAGGAACCCGCAGTGACCGGGGCCAGCACTGCCCGTGGCCCCTGCCAGGCTGTGCCAAGGAGCCCCATGTGGCGGGGATGGGGGACCCCAAAGAGCCACACACGTGTAGCAGCAGTGCTGGGGCTCAGCTCCTCCCTGGGACACCCAACACCAGCCCCAGACTGCTGCTTCCTGATCTCTTTTGGCTCATCCACCCGGACTGCGAGCTCAGCCTTCCTCTCCTGCTGGGCTTCTCCACGGGAGAGGGAGACATATTGCCTTGCTGTAAAGTGAGCCATTTAGCTTATTAAACGCTGTTAAGGGTGCCCTGAGGTCTGTGCACATGTGGGACC